ATTTCCATGATGAGCGGATTGGGGATTTTCGCTTTCAATGCTTCTTATCCCGGCGTCGGGTCCGCTCTGGAGGGGATCAAAGTCTCGGTCATTCCCATTATTGTAATCTCACCGCAATAACCCTCTGCTTCTTCCATTGCTTCCAAAGATGAACTGGGGTAGTGACACAAGAACCGACTAACTAGTCAATCACAGTATCTAACGAATTGAAGATGAAGATCCTGAATTCAGTCGAAAGATCTACTTGCTAATGAAATATTACACCAACATCACACCCGGTTTCCCACCCTAATTCTAGTCAAATTAAACTACTGTAGTTATAAATTTCTAAAAATGTACACGCAAACCATCAACTCCTTCTTCCTGCAGAAATTCCCAGAAGGCTATGGGAGAAACCTATTTGATACCATCCACTCTGACCTGCGGTTCAGCCAGCGAGCTGGAATTGTCCTGGAATCCACCACACTTGTCGCACCCGCTAACCGACAGAATCTGACGGCGATGAGGCCTAAAACGCAGATAAGAGCGCATAGGAGAGCGGCGAGGAGGTGGCGGAAATCGTAGTGGAGGGACCAGTAATAGGGCGCTGAGTCGGTGGAGGAGTGTGGCTCGCTTCTCCAGGGGGAAGTCATGTAGCATGTGCGATTTTGGATAATAATTTGTTTTTAATTTAATTTTTAGAATAGAATAATTGGGTAAAAATTAGACTAATTGATGTGATTTATATTTTGATTGAGTTTTATAAAAGTTAATTTGTAAACTAAAAAAATTATTTGAATTATAATTAAATAATTAAGTTTAGTATATCAAATAATAAAAATAGGTATGACTTTTATTAAATAATAAAAAATAATTAAAAATATAAATTTACAAAATATAATAATTGTAAATTATTATAATAAACAAAATTTATATTTAATAAATAAAATATATTTAAATTAGAAATCATAGTGATGCAAAAATTTTTAAACCAGATAATATTATATAATTAATTAGATGATACACTCTGTATAATTTATGTTAATATAAAATTAAAAATAAAATTAAAAATATTATAAAAACTGTTACAAATTATTTTAGTTTAAAAAAATATTAAAAATAAATAACTAAAAACTGATTAGAAAGCATAAAGTATGTAAAGAGAGAAGAGTAAAAACAATATAAACATAAGAGCAAAAATATCTTTTAATTCTAAAAATCTGTTTTTACATAGAGTAAGTAATAAATAAATTTTATGTGCTTTTACAAATTACAATCATATTTAAGAAAACAGTAGTTCTGTTTGCGTGAGCGTTTTAACACTTATTATGCATGCTTTGAAGTGATAAGTACGATTGGCTTTTCAATGGATGTTTGATTTAGCTCTCAACCATCTTACTTATAACTAAAAGTTACAATTTTTAAGAAGTTAGATCTTTCTACTTATACAAAATCATGCTTTTAAGGCGACTTTGGTCGGCCGAACGAGAGGAGAGAAGAGCTAATCTTCTTTTTCCAGCCAAAGCAACTTGTCAGTGCACTCAACATTGTTATCACGTTACTATAAATTTTAATTTAAATATATTTTATTTATTAAATTTAAAATTAACTTTTTTCTATTAAAATAATTTAAAAATATTATATTATGTAAATTGATAATTTTGTATTTTTTATTATTTAATAAAAGTCATATTTATTTTAGTAATTTTATAAACTAAACTTGCTTATTCATTCATAATCCAAACAACTTTTACTTTTACCTAATCTAACTTTTTTAAAAGCCAATCGAAACATAAATTTAATTACGCAATCTAACTTTTTCAAAAGCTAAGTTAAAAATAAACTATTTTTTCTATCGTTACTCTAAACGGGCACAGTTTTTAACCTGTAAGTCAGAGTAATCAAAAATTATTACAAACAGCTTTCAAATCTACCAATTAACTTGTGATACCCATAAGTTACTTTTTTGCCCGCCGAAATACCTTACCAAACAGGTACTAAACAGCCACTAATCAAGGGTGTGTTTAGGATAGGATAATGTGATTTATGTTTGGATTGGATTTTGAAAAAAAGTCAGTTTGAGAAGCTGAAACTTGTTTGGATGATAAATATAAAAGTAAGTTTGGATGTAAAATGACTTAAAAGGACATAAATTTTATTAAATAGTACATATCTAATATTAGATATATATAATGTGACTATTTTTTAAGGAGTAAGGAAAATAAAAATTATTAAAAGTAAATAAATTTAATTTATTATTAGAAAGAAGTTATATATATAATGTAATCATTTTAAATGAAGTAATGAAAATAAAATTATTAAAAATAAGGAAATTTAATTTATTGTTATAAAGAAATTATATATATAAATCATGAGAAACAAAATGGATTATAGTCTTATATTTAAGATCAAAATAAAAATCAAATAAGATCTTATATTAAAAACTGAAGATAGTATTAAAACCCACCTCAAGTGGCTAGGTTGGGAAAAAAAAACACACATCATGCACAAAGTATTCTCTCTCATCCCTCACTCATAGACCCACCTATCCAAACTTGTTGCGGAGAAGTTAGAAGCAATGAATTTTAGTTTTTGGAAAAAAGCTTTTTTTAGATATAAGCCCATCTACCAACATCATCATTCCAAACATGACATTTAAACAAAAAATTGCTTTTTTCATCGTTTTCCGTTAGAGAAGTTGATTTGGGTGGAATGACCGTGATGCCAAACACACTCTAAATCTTGTTTAAACACGTTTTTCGTGCTACCCATCCCATCTCTTGCGCTTTATACATCACAAATTTTCTCAACTCACAATTGTCACCTTTCTCTCGCCGGGCTTAACGTTTTCATTACTTTTGTACGAATTTTATACATGAAAGAATCCTTCAAAAACTAAGAAGGTTGGTTTAGCTAGTAAATAATCAGCACATAACTCATAAAATAGTAAATTTAAATCCCATCTTTGATACGAGAATATTGTTAGTAGACAATCTGTAAATACGTCTCTAAATATTCTTTGAATCTGCATATCCTGACTCTGATAAACAGACCTCACTCACTTGAACTTTTATTTATTAAAAAAAAATAGAATCCTTTAAAAAAAACTTAGAAATCACTAAATCTCAAGTAAAATTTTTTTATAAAAATATATTGCTTATAAGTATAATATTGTCAAAACCTATTAAAGTGTTGTTAATTTAAAATTTAGTAATTTTAAGCCCCTTTTTATCAATTTTTTTTTCACATTTCATGCTTTTCATTTTTTTATTAAAGAAATCGTACGAACAGAATAAATTTTAAGATAAAGTATGTTGTTTGAGTTTTTTTAATTACATGTTTAAGCTTCAAATATCCATGGGGTGACAAGTTATAAATGGTTAAAAAAAAGTTATAAAATAGGAAAAATTCCACAAAAAAACCCTTGGAATATAAGAAATTTCAGATTGGGTTCTGAAATTGTGTAAATGACAGAAATGATTAATAACTCAATCTATCATTTGTAAAATCAAGAGAAATTGACAACTTTGTCCTCATTTGTATTCATTCACTATAATGATTTAAGGAATTACTATAAGGGTTTCGACGTTACCTAGATTCGTGTAAAGAATAACTACTCACTTTTTCGTAGTCAAGTGCCTTGTTGTTAACTACAACTAATCATGTAATCAATAAAATAATATAAGCGTTACTTAGATTCGTGTAGAAAATAACTACTCACTTTTTCGTAGTCAGATACCTTGTTATCAACTACAACTAATCATGTAATCACTAGAACAGTGTAAGCTTTACCTATATTTGTTTAGAGAATAACTACTCATTTTTGTTTAGCCAAGACAAAGTTGTCAATTTTTCTTGATTTTACAAATGACAGATTAGATCATTGACCCTTTCTATCATTTACACAATTCCAGAACTTGATCTGAAATTTCATATATTTCAAGGGCTTTTTCTGGGATTTTCCCTATAAAATAGTAGGCAAAAAAAAAAGTTATAAAATAGAATGGCTTTGTTATCTACTCTTTTGATTCTATCTATAAAGCACTTCTAACATGTTTCACACAATCCAAAAAAAAACCTTAAAATATATTAACTTTTCATTAAAATATAACAACTTTTCAACTTTATCCCTATTTAATATATACATCTTTTAAAAAAAAATAACTATCTACATTATAATAAATGAAAAACAATTTAATACATTCATGATAAAAATTTAATAAAACAACTTACAGAACAAAAAAAAATCTTCTATCTCTCAACCTTATAGATAAGACCAGAGAAGTACATTTTATGACACCATTTTAAAATATATTTTTTTCTCATGTACTTTCTAAATTAATTTTAAATCATTAAATAACTCTTGGTACACTGAATAATATACATGAGATTACAAATTCTAGAATAAAAAATTTCTAATAAACACGAGGCAACAAATTATAAAATAGAATGACTTGTTATCCAAAGTTCTCATTTGCATTAGGTGGAATATTCTACAATAAAATAGAGCATTATTTATATTTTTAATTTGGGCAATAACAATAAAACCTACAACAGAATAAGTGATATTTATAACTTCATGTACTAATATTCTAAACCATAACATGTTTAAATCTTATGTGCGGATCACATACTTTAATACGCACCGGATAATAAATTCTAAAATAATTAGTATGAAAATAAAATAAATTATCCACTCATTAATACAATTCTGCTTCACACCCTACAGATGCTCTTACTTTTTTTGTGAAATAATCAAATTAACATTTAATCGATATTTAATTTTTATTAGCTTTTTATGATTCGTTTAGTTCAAAAGAAATGGACTGGAGGAAAAGAAGAAGAAATTCTCATCTGTTCAACTTTTTTTAAAAAAAGAAGAGAGAGAGAGAGAGAGAGTGTGACCAATTGTTCTTTAAAGATTGAGAAATTGCTCTAATTTTGACAAGATTCTTCAAGTGATTGGTGACCTTTTAATATTAACAACTTGTTTTTAGAATTTTGAAAAGTCATAGTTCAAATACTGAGAAGTTGTGATTCAAATTAAAAAAAAAAAAAATCCAAAGTGTTATTTGAATACTCCTATTCCTAATATTTTGACAACTTCACTGTAGGGTGTCGACAAGTGTTTATGATATGGCTGGGAATTTTGCTCTATATAGCTAAATCACATAGTTCAATAGTAACCAACGTTATGGTGAATCAAGGAATTATGAGTCTAAATCTTCTCTTAGCCACCTTAAAATACTTGTCTAGTTCCAGGCATCAAAGCTCCAGTAATAGTCTAACCACCAGCACCAACCACCTTGCTCCGACAGCGGCACTGACGATGGTGGTGGGGGCGGACCCCTTTTTTTGTCTAGCCGCCATCGAATTTAGAAGGTTAAAGGGGAAAGAAAAAAAAAAGAGAAAAGAATACCAGTTTCCAACAGTCACCTCTGTTTTCTTTTTTTGGCCATGGTTTCAACAGTCACCTATTTGCACCAAAATGCTCTCCGGCCTTCTCACAAATCAAATCTCACGTTCCATCTACCTTTATAGTCGACGTTAATAACCCAATTGTTCTCCCTGATCTGCATATAGGGAACCTGGTACAATATTTTTGAAGACAGACAATGTGAAACATCAAGAGGAAGGAAACACGAAGAAATAACTGCAAAACAAAAAAGTTCTGAACAGAAAAATCAGTATCAGAATAGTTGGACAAAGGGACTAGACAATCAAAATGCAAATAGTTGCGATGCGACTTAACAGTCCTTCAGCAACCTTACTTCTCCAACAAATCGGCATATTTATTTAGTATCTAAAAACTTTCATAACTGTCATCACAAAGCTCCACCGACTCCAGCTCATAGAAACCGACAGCGTGATATCATGATAAAGTGAGATCGAAAGTGAATCGGCCTCTTATCCCGTACCGAGACTCTACTATCATGATGGAGGCCGACTAATTCATTAAAACTTCACTTTTAAAAGAACTCCCACCAATTCCGTTAATTAATATCTCCACCCGAAAACAGATAAAGATTTGCATAATCCAGCAGAACAGTTGGCTTCAGCATAATTTGGTGGCTCAACAAGGCTAGGCTTATACCTGTTCAAGGACCTCGTAGCCAACTCTGAGTCTAACATCTTGATCCTTCTGAAAATTGAATATGCTCCACGAAAACTCAGCTGCTCCTTTGGACTTCCTCTGCAAACAAATCAAGGAACCTTTGCTCCGCAAGTCAACTTAAAATTACATTGAAGCATTTTGGCTCAGATGAGACCACATACCTCTTTAAACTCTTTACCAACATCAGATCGTCCCTTAATATTAAAGCTCAGGAATCCATCACCTGTCACAGGGAATGTTTTCTTTCCACGCACGCTGTACCATAACTTGTCATATTTATCGTACAGCAATCCTACACCAAGGGTTGCTGATAACTACAATTGATTGCCAAAAGTATCAGTGGGAAGAACAAAGCATCCACAAAAAGCGGGAAAGAATGACGAAGGGGGAAAATGAGGAGTAATATATACTAGTGTAAACATATAACCCAAAAAAATTCAGGCATACATCAGGGTAAATATGTTTTATCCAGGCACTAAAATAACATGGACGTCCGAATTTAGTATCCAGCCCTCCATGCACCTGACATAAAAAAGAATGCAAGCAACAGGGTAAGGCAGAGAATTCCATACACTTGGGAGCAGTCCTATTACAAGGAACTAAAAAGTGTTTTTTTTTTAAAAAAAAAAAATTCCATCCTCTATATTCGAGAACGCGTGCAAACGGGAAAGAAGTAGAGAGGAGACGAAAGCGAAACCTGCAAGTGGGTATTGGAGTCAATGGGGAAAGCTTGCTTGGCGTGGATTCTTAAGGTTTTGGAATCGGCCCCATATCTGAGAGAAGTCTCCATGGTCGAAGCGAAGGAAACGAACCCTTCAATTTACGCGACGGATGAATAGATAACCCTAAGTAGTCCCCCCTAGAAGAGGAGAAGAAGCACTTTTGTGGCTGTTGCTTGCGGTTGCTAGTACTTGCTTCGCTCCGCCTATCCACCGCTACCCAACGGCCTAGGCTCCCTCTGATGTATGGGCCGCCTCATCAGCCCAAGAATGATACCACGTTTTTTATTTATTTAATACTACCTCCCCTTTTTTTATATGAAAATTAGTTGATTAATTTAAATAGATTAAAAAAATTAGTTAAGTTAATTATTTATAATACTATTTCGGTATTTAATATAAGAGCTTGTTTAAATTTTATTTTGATTCTAAATATAGGACCCTAATTCACTTTGTGTCTCGTATTTATCAATTTTTTTCAATATAGTTCTTATAATAATTATAATTCTAGCCAGTATACTTGATTAGCAAAGATATTTTTAAAAAATATAATACATATTCATTACAAATAAATAACTTAATTAATTTCATTAATTTACTCAAATTAGTCAATTGGCTCTTACATTAATGACCAGAGATAGTAAATAAGTATTGTCTCTCTTAAAATATTCTTGCTAGAACTATCATTTGATGAAATATTTAATATATACAACTACTACAATAGCTATTTTAAATAAATAAATAAATATGAAAGACAAAATAGATTAGTTTCTTATATTTAAGATCAAATTGAGAGCCAACATAGCTCTTATATATATACTAATTATAAGACCCAATTGACTTATTTGAGGAGATTAAGGAAGTAAGTTAAGTTGGTTATTTATAATAAATAAGTGTTGTTATTCCTAAAATATCCTTGCTAATTAAGTATATTGGCTAAAACTATCATTATTAGAAGGATTATCTTGGAAAAAATACATAATATAAGAGAGAAAATGGATTGGGTCTTATAATTAGGACCAAATAAAAAGTCAAATTGTGTCTTATAATAAGGACCGGAGGAGTATTAAGGATTGAAGTAGTATTCATTTATAATTAAAGTATTTCTTATTATTCCGCCACACCCGTGAGAATCTTATTATTCATTGGAGAGAGATTTTTAAGTGCAAGATAGCATATGCTTAAAAAAAAATTAATACTAGTGCATGAAAAAACTATGAAAATAAAGCGATGAGATAAATTAACTCCAAAAATTCCTTGAAAGCAAAACTACACCAAAATTCATTTTAGGATATAAGTGTTACTGAAAAATATTTTAAAGTATGCATCATAAGCTTAAATTTGAAGGTCCAACTTAATCATCACTTCAAGAGCTCGGAAAAAGTTAAAAAATGCATTGTTTTTAAAAATATAAGGGTAAAATTTCTATTTAAAAAAATACAGTTCTTAAAAATTTAAGAGCAAAATTGCAGGGCAAGTTATTTTAGAATAACAAGTACTATTAAAAAAAATATATGCAACCCTGGTATGAAACATATAAAATTATATTATTAATATGACTCATAATAAATCAGACAATTATATATGGTATAGATATAATTAAAAGAAGGGCTACATATCGATCAGATTAAGCTCTTCAAATGCACGTATCCATATGTCATATTTTTAAAATATTAATATTTAGTAATATTTAATTATAAATCTTGAAACAAAACGTACAGCAACAAATAGCTGTTGGCTTGTTGCACATATTTCCGAAACCAAGATGATCCCGTAACAATCACAAAAGTAACAAAGCATGATGGCCCGCAGTTCTCTGACAGATGCATGGGCCTAAGGACAAATGTCAAACAACAATAGCAATCACAATTACAATCGTGATCCCCAGAGAATGGAGGCTCATGTTTTCAGACACTCTCTCCGATCAACTTCCCACGAGAAGGAGGGGGCAAAAGCGTCGGTGCATCACAAGGGCAGAGACTAATCAAGATGTCTATCAAAGTTATTTCGGGGAATCAAATCGATATCACTTTTCAGTCGGCACTACTTGCAAAAGTTCAATATTGAGTTGAAACGTAGCTCCGGGCTGCAATAACAGTAACGAATGTAATCAAAGGTTGATGCCGTGATAACAGCAGTCAATAATACACAATTAACAGAGTAGAGATGGACAAAGAAACGAGGGCTTCACCGGAATCTCATTCATTCCCTTTTGGCCGTATCCCTTGTCCGGAGTAACAATCACAGTTCGCTGCAAGCATTCAAACAGAACACGTTCAAATATAATTGACAGGTGTATCGGTGGCAACAAGATAATTAAGGATTGTCCGCAACACCTTTCCGCCCGTTCGCATCCCTTCCGTGACGGAATACAAAGCAGGTGGAGGCTTCGGTGCTGCTTGTGCCGAGAATAGACCATTTGGGTTGTCTACAAACTCGCGTTTCCGTTCCTTTCCGGGCGGAGATCCCACCGCAAACTCGTAAGGCTTTTAATAGCACAAATAATGCGTTAGCGCATTTGGCTCGCCCCACTGAAACCCCGCGCAACACCGAGTTAAAAGAACTGAACCTGAGCTATAATACGATTCCCAGCTAGAAGTTTAGATTCTCTGCTCGATACAGCTGTAATTCCACGATAAATGCAGTCAAAGTGTACCTGTCAGAAGAAGCCTATAGTCAATTAAGAGGCGGAAAAAAGAAGAAGAAAGAACACCAAAATTATTACAGCATGTTCCCCATCCTGACCCGAACAGTTGATCCTTTCTCAGCTATTGGACCCTTTCCCGCAATCAAATCATAGTATTTCAATCCATCAGCTGAATGAAACATCACAAACATCAAACATTAGCGGAAAAGATCGCAGTGACGAACGCACTTTCCAGATCTACAAAAATAAAAGCAGATTGAAACTCAGTCAACATAAAAAGGGAGGGGAAGGGACTGGTGATGAGTATTGAATTGCACATCAGGAACAGCCAATCCATCTCAATCATGTGGCCACCAGAAACATATAGAACCCTGGTCGGTGGGGAACTATCAAAGAATGACGAAAAAATGAAAAGAAAGAGAAATGAATGGCTGAACTTAACGGGAAGTCAGATAGTCTTGAATGGGGATGGTGGAGTTGAAACGTCTGTCACGGGCGAGGACAGGAGGAGGAGAGAGGCATGGGAAGGGGAAAGGGAGGGCAGAAATGAGAAGCGCGGTGGATGATCTTCTGGAGAATTGGCGAGAGTTGTCGGGGAGGAGTGGAAGCACGGGAGCCGCATATTCAGAGTAGGTGCGTTTTATGATGGAGAAGCTGCAACTGCAGGAGGAGCACCAAGTCGCCATCCTCATCCGCTCGCTTTTCATGGACGCCCACCGCCATCCGGCTTTTCAACCCCTCAAATCCCATCCATTTCTGTTTTGGGAAAATTATACTATAAGACCCAGATAAAATTAATATTTAGCCAAAAGGCAATAAAATTGTAATTATTTAAAAGGATTTTACTAAATTCCTCGCAGCCAAACTCCCCTACATTCTCTCTTTTCCGTTCTTTCTCGTCGGAGCATAAGCATCCTCCCTTCTAAATTCCATCCTTCTCTAACTATTACTATCTTCTTGTTATTTTTCTCAATTGATTGGTTATTGTCTTGGTTTGGTAGAGTATCATATGGTCTAATATCTAAAGTCGGGAAAATTATGAACACTTTCTTTATAGTCTTTCTGACCTCCATGGGGTGGCCCCGCAAATGTTTTCGAATGTTGAAGGGCAACATTAAACTATAGAAGTTTGAAATATCATGTGCTCATACGAGCTACCTGTCTAGGAAAACTACACATATAAAAGAATGGATCGACACAAAGTTGGATTCCACGCGTTAAATAAGCTGTGTCATCATGATTCGTGGAAGTATCTTTGCGATGCTGCATAGATGGATGCTTGCAGCTGATGCAGATCAATAGACATTTTTAATAAGTAATTACATGGGAGAAGATGGTTGCATCGTGTGCAATGGCCAACCTGAAAGCATGCCACAATAACTGGTCAAAACTTTTTGATAATCTCGTATATTGTGCAACCGCACACACGCCAAAGATATAAAATAGGAAAAATTGTAATGAGGTCCCAAGTAAGGAAAACAACTGAAAAACAAATTCTAGAGGTTGTCATTTACACTTTAGGACTTGTCATTATAGGCTGTTCAAGTTGTTATTGGGATTTTTTAATAATTATTTCTCTTCTATAAAACTTAATTGTAATTCTCCCTATAAAATACGGGATATTTGAATGGAATCAAAATCATAATTTTAAAAGTGTTTTTATGATATATGAAATAAATATACGAAGGATTTTATCTAAATTTACAGAAAAGTGCTTTTTAAAAACACTTCTGAGATGGTGTTTGGGTAAGAACAAATCCATGGTTTCAGAAGTGCTTTTACGATATACGAAGTAAATATGTGGAGGAATTTGTCTCGATTTGTAAAAAAAATACTTCTAAAAAGTACTTCTGGATTAACCAAAGACCTCGTGGTACTTCTCAAATACGGAATTTTTTTTCTAACCACAAGCGGCAGTCATGGGACAGAGCTGCTGATGTGTTTCAAACAAATAAAAAGTATGAGCTCAGCAATTAAGTCTATCCGCCACCTACCCGCTGTGACTGTTGCAATTGCCGCTTAGGTTTCATCCATACCCAAACGACAACCTTAAAAAAAAAAAAAAATCTGGGCCGCTCTTTACCCCCCCCCCCAGGCGCTAATCGTCTCTCAACCTATCCTAGTTTCTTTCCCCAGTTCCCCTTTATCTTTTCCGGTTTCGACAATGGCTTCTGTTTCGGGCTCCGTCCTTCTAAGAAAAAGTTCTCCAATTCATCATGCATTCGGTAACATCTCTCACCATTAGTTACTTGTTCGAGGATTTCATTTCCATATTCGGTCCCCATCTCCTGTCTGCTGTTTTCATGGCTTTATTGGATGATCAAAAATTTTATTTCGGGCACATTACCCTGATTTCGTTGCCACTTGAACCGTCTAAGAACATGGATGTTTTACTCCGCAAAATTACGAAAGAATTATGCATTTGAAACCGCTCCGCCATCCCTCTCTCGATGTATGCTGAGTTCGAGTTACTAGCATTAAAAGTTGCTCAATTTATTCCTTTTAGCGACATTGTTCAGATCGGAAAAGTGTTCTTCTCTCTTTTAGGACCATCTACTCTTTTTCTGTATATCAATGCCCTTGGGACCTCCCAGGGGTTGGTTTCTAAACATTCGGTTTAATACCGTCCGAGGCTGTGTGATAAGTGAATGTCATATTCCCGCTCAGTTGGGTTCATACACAAAGGGCCGAGGGAAAGAGGGGATGGGCGAAGACACTCAAGTCGACCTGATTATGGGCAAAACGTCCTGATTTTCGCCCTTTTTAACATCCCAAAGGCGCAGTTTAGCAAATTTCTATGCAAAATAAAATCGTGAGCCACAATTGAGTCTACAATCAAGTTCGTAGAGATGTTGACTACTACTAATACTGAGAAAACCGGTGGTAGTATTAAATACCAATATTTTTTCAGTATGTCACAAAGATAGACGACTAACAATAGTGGTTGATATCATCATCTGATTATAAATCTTTCAAGTCAGAGTATCTCGTTTCCTTCAAGTGATTCCATGTGTTTTAGATTGAATGGAGCACTACCCTCTGGACAAGTAAATATTTCCTACAAGACCAACTTAAAAAGTTTTCCTCCTGAAAAAAAAAAATCGGGGTCTGAGTGTTTGTTTAAATCAAAGCTAGCATATGAAATTACGAATAGCTCTTTGTCAATTTTTACGCCCTCCCTTTTTCAGTTTTCGCTTGTGCTTTCCTTTTATCGAGAAAGCTTGTTTTCTGCTAACTTATTCTAATATTGGCAAAACTTTTGCCAGAATCACGCTTAAATGAGCTGGATTACTGTCGAGCAAAGATAAAACCTTCCGGATTGTCTTTGAATTTAAATCATCCCGGGAGGCTGCAGCTATCGTTAACCAGAAGGCCTGTGAAAATTCAAGCTGCTTATAGGTATTCTTTCTGATTTGACTCATATGGTTCAGCACTTTGTAGTTTGTTTTTGAATGAATTAATAGTTGATAAGGGTTTAAAATCTTAATTATTTACTCCCTCAGTTCTTAGTACAAGACACCTTCTAAAATCCATCCATGCATTCAATACCGTGTCTCAACATTTGAAGTGTTGATATTTGAAAAGTGCGGAAATTGTGCCCTTTATTTGTCCAACGCTCATCAAAATGACCCTACTTCAAATTCCCTCAGGGCACTATATATATATATATCATGTAGGAAGTCTATGTGTCAGTATATGTGCTTCTTTGGTCTTAACACTCATTCTTTGATGCATAAGCATCAGAAGCTGGAATTGAGAAATAGGTAGTGCTTGTTAGTTGATTGGAGGGGCATAAAGACCGGAAAATTGCAAAGAAACTCCATAATGTGTTATCTGCCTAACAATGGCACCCATTGCATATTTGGCTTCCGATAGAGCCCTCTAGTCTAATGAGCTTGTTGCAAATCAGGAAAACCACAAATAGGCTACAAAAGACGTGCAACTGATATTATTCGTATTACTGAATAATAAAGTCAGATTACAAAGGAAATAAACAAGTAATAACACAAAATACACAGCATAAAACACAGAATATAAGCCACTGGACTTTCGAGAGGCCAGTACTCTCCCAAAGACACTTTCCCTCCCCAAAATATTGGACTCCCCTCTCTCTGGACCAAAGGGATGATTTAAAGACCCAAAAAGTGACTCTTACAGTCCCCAACTTAGCCCTCTCCTAGACTTTGACTACAGCAACCTGAATACTTGATAGCTGCCCTGCTCTATTTCTTTCTCCGAAGTAGCAGGAATCTCCAAGTCAAAGTTCTGACCAGCAGAAAGTGGTTTTCCTTTTTCATTCATCTCCTTAAGTTTCCTTTTGCATATCTGGCCAACAAAAGCAATTCTATCAGTTTTATTTTCTTACTTTTCTATATTGATTAGTAATAGTGAGTCCACAGCTTGCTTTCCTGTGCCCTTGTGGTTTCCGGCTATCCTTCTAAACCTTAAGGCGCGAGTTCGAGCGCTGGCATCCAAAAAAAAAAAAAAAAGTAATAGTGAGTCCACATTACATGCTCATCGAATCGATGAGCATGAGGTTCCCAACTACTAAATGTGTTTTTCTGATAAATGAGAAAAATCTTAACCATTGATCTCACTCTAATCTCAGCCGTAGGTTGTTCCAAATATTTTTATTCTCTAAAAGCTTGCACAGTTTGAGGGGTTCAGTGGGTTTTTATGTGCGAGCGGATGGAAGAGCTTAATGTAATAATAGAACGAAGCTGGATAGTGCTTCCATTTGAAACTATTGTTCTTTACTTCATTATTTTGCTGCTTCCATATTTTTTGATTGCTACCATTTGAACAATGAATGTATGATGAGGTATTTAAATCCGCGAATACCACTTCAAATAATATTTGCTCAAAAGCTGCCATTTTTTCTACTGTTGTCTGTTCTTTTTTCTTTGATCTGATTACGGATTAATTGATCCTATCTTATCAATTTATTCAAGTGCTACTCATTTTATAATCTTCATACTGCTTCTCTTCATTATACCCTTCCCTGAGATTCAATTGACTTGTAGCTAAATATTGTCTCGCCTTAGTTAGTTCTTTTACTTGGAAAACTAAATATGGAAAAGAAGCCACAATTGGGGCAAAGGGGCTGGAAGTGGCAGGAGATGAGGCTGGTTTTAGTGGCGAACCAGCAGCAAAAGAGACCATGCCGGAGCCATCAGCAGCGGCGGATGCATCTGGTGGGACTTGTGTTGCCATTATGTCAATTCCGTTTAGTGGTGACATGATGATGTCTGGAGGAGCGTCAGACTCAGACTTGGCCCATGCAGGTGGCCCTGGGGGAAGATGGTTGTTAGGAATCACTGGCGCTGGTCTTCCTTACAAACATGGGGCTTGACCTTGGTCTGAATTTGGCACATAAAAACAGGAAAACCCACTGAATCCCTCCCCAGCGCCCTTGTGCAATTTTTAGAAAGGAAGTACTTGGAACGACCGACAACTGAGATCAGATTGAGACCAACGGTTAAGATTCTTCTCAGTTATTGGAATGATGAGTTTAGTAGCTGAGCATCACGTGCTCATCGAATCGATGAGCATGCAATGTGGACTTGAGAATCGATCATGGTGTTTCATTATTTCAGCCACAACACATGCATGCTAGGTTTGAAAAGCATGCTGCATTCAAATTTTCAATATAAAATAATTATATTCTGAAGAACACAGGAAATAACACTCAGAACAACAACAAAATCCTTAATTTGAAAGAATAATCACTATGGTGGTTTCTAATGTTTTCAGCTTATTGTGTGGTATACTGTTAACCTGGGTCACTTCCGTTCTGTAATTAGTAGTGATGGAAGGCCGAGCAGTGCTAGCATTTTCGTTGGTGGATTTATCTTGGGAGGACTCATCGTTGGCACATTGGGCTGTGTGTATGCACCTCAGGTGGTATTCGTTGCTCCCTTTCGGGTCTCAATTTTCAGATTTGATTTATTCCTAAAGTCTCACTGTCTCAACACAGATTTCCAGGTGTAATTAGATAGATCATCATCCCTCTCTCGCATATTTAAAACATTATGACATTTAATTGAGGGTAGGAATGGAAAGAAAAATCAAGTGATCAACATAATGTCTGTATATTTGAATTGGAATTACTTATCCCCTCTTACTATCAAGTCAATAGAAATTAATAATCTGCAGTACAAACATAAGTTATTGGCTGTATTGACCTTTAAAATTTTTAACATAGCAGGATACTATCATTTTATTTTAAATATTTATGCTGTGGACGGATTTTTTTTTGGAGGAAAAAAAAAAAGATCTGCTTGATTGTTAGTTAATTTTTTTTTTCCCCTTTTCACAGATCAGCAAAGCACTAGCTGGTGCTGACCGAAAGGAATTAATGAGAAAATTGCCAAAATTCATATATGATGAAGAAAAGGCTTTAGAGGTAAGTCGTTAATAGGTTCTCTTGATTCCATTCCTCATGTTTGTCTGAACTCTGAAGACTGTTAAGGGCACATGTCGTAGTAGATCATGCAAGGATGCACAAGTATAGTTATTAAATTCTTATAGACTAGCATAATGCCTGTCATCTGAAAACTGGTATTTTATCTACATGTTGACTCTTATATTTGAATTTTGTTAGCAAATATTTGATGAAAATTTTCCAGTCATTGCTACTTTGAGGTTCATTATGTTATAAATATTTCATTTCACTCACAGTTTGCTTCTCTTGAGTTACAGAAAACTCGAAAAGTACTGGCTGAGAAAATTGCACAACTGAACGATGCCATTGATGATGTTTCTGCCCAGCTACGATCAGAGGAGGCCCCAAATGGGGTGGCTGTGAACTCTGAAATTGAAACTGCTACATGAGACGGTTGTTTTGCCCTGCTATGGTGCAATTGGCTATCACTCTCTTCACTAGAAGATATCTTGTTTCAAAAAATGTATCCGAATTTCTTGTGATATCTTTTAATTTCTTCTCAGTAATAAATTTAGCTGTTATTTTTAACATTTTATTGGCAGCTTGTGGCTCGGGTAAAACAGTCTTGCCCTTCACATGCCTGTGGCCGTTCTTCTGGAGATCAATGCATGCAGCATGACCGCTTTCAGGATCTCAGTTGTGTTATTTTGTTTAGAAGTTGACATGATGAGCTGATTGTATTATAAATATGAACCAGCAAATGTATTAGTAGACTGACTCTGGATTTCTATAAATAATGGATTGTATTTATCCTGGGATTATATTCAAGTTATCATACGTGCATCGAAAGGGAGCATCATAGAATCTTCAGGTTCCGAATGAAATAAACGAATAATCTTAATATGCACGAGGCACGAAACACAAATAATCCGAAGAAGCTGGAAGGACTTGAGACACAAAATAAAAATGAAACATGCGTATAATTCTTATAACTGTATTATTAGATCATTAAATTAAAACATAATAATTTTATTATTTTTTAATAATATTATGTGTTATTTATTTATAATAGATGGCTTGCCTATGATTTTACGGGTAAAAATTCCATTTATAGTAAAGTCTAGTTATTTTTAGGTTACATTAAACGCCGAAGATGTGCATTCTATTTTAGCCTAATACTACTTTCGGTAGCTAATTTAAATAGATTAAGAAAGTTAATTAAGTTATTTGTTTATAATAAATAAGTGTTATATTTCTTAAAATATTTTTACCAATCAAGTATATTAGCTACAACTAACATTATTACAAAGACTAGTTTAAAAATAAATAAATAAATATAAGAGACAATAAATTGGGGTCTTATACTTAGGATTCAAATAAAAGTTAAACTAATTTTTATATTAAGAAAAATATATAAAAAAAATCATTTGAGTTTTTAGATTTTTTATACCATACAATGATAGGTACCTTTGCCCCCCCGCCCCCCGGGTTCCTGTTCAATGTTCGTTGTCTGCTTGTTTCCTCCGCTCCAATATTCGGTTCTTAACCATACACTAACAACAAACTGTGAGAGGTAAAATTCAGGCAAACTCTTTCAACTATCAGCGATGCCCGTGCGATGAGTGCGCAGAACCCCTCGAAATTCACCAGATAATGCTTTCATCTATCAATCCAGACGAAGTGACTGTTTAGATTAGCAGTGAATAATTGTGATTTTAAATAATTATAAATTTTATAAGTAATATTGATATTGGTTAATCGTAATTCTGTTTGAATATGTTTCTTTTATAAATAACTTCTAAGAATTATGATTATTTTTGGTTTCATTTATTAAAATCACTTATTGATGAATAATTGCCAAAAAACATGAATTTAATAAATATTATCAAATATAATTATTTGGGGGGAGATTTTAGGAAGAGTGTGAGAGGATAAATTAAAAAAAATTCAGTTGATAAAAATTAATCAAAATTTTTCAAACACATAAATTGCTTCTTGGTATTTATTCTAAAAGTACAGTAAAAGAATAAATTTACGATTTGCAGAGATTTTATAAAAATAATCCAAATAAGATAAATATGCTTCATAATCACTTGTTTAGATTTAAACAAACTAATTTGATCACTCCTTACCTAACCAAACAGTCACGAATACAGAGTAAATACGTGGTGGATGGAACATTCGTAGGTCGCAATTTGTGGGTATGAGAGGAGGAGATTTTACTACTATTATTATTGGAGTATTTTGAATATAAAGCAGAGAGGGACAGTGTTTGAAAAATAAAAAAGAAAGGAGGGGTGGACAATCTGTGGCTCAAATTGTGAATTGGGACTTGTCTGTCCAAACGTGATCTTATCAGCTTATTCACCACTCATTCGCGCGAGCAGCAGCCATAGTTTTGATAAACGAAAGGAGAAAAAATAATGTGATATATTTACAGAGGAAGCCGTTGGGAAGGTATCGTTGCAGCCATGGCCACCAACGCAGCTCTTGCTTCTACCAGAATCCCCACCAACGCCAGGCTTCTTCCATCCAAGGCCTCTCACTTTTTCGCTTCTCAGTGTGCCCCCAAGGTGCTCCCACCTCCTGTACATGACTACGACTCATGCTCTTTATACGCACAGCCCTCTCACTGGGCTTCTTTTGTTTGTGCAGCGACTTGAAGTGGCTGAATTCTCTGGCCTTAGATCCACCTCATGCCTCGCCTTTGCTAGCAATGCCCCTTCCTCTTCCTTTTTTGATGTGGTTGCTGCTCAACTTACTCCCCAGGTGTTCTCGCCCTCCATTGTTCTTTCATTTCTTTGCGAAATCAGTTTTAGTTTTAGACAGAGGTTGCGGCAAGGGTTCCTCTCATGAATTTTTCATTTTCTTGGCTGGACGATAGTTCATATTGATTGATTATGGATTTGACTTGGGGAATTGGAAAAACAGAAGGGGGAACCGTGCGAGGGAAGGGCAGAAACAGTGGCGAAATTGAAGGTAGCAATCAATGGTTTTGGACGCATTGGGAGGAACTTCCTCCGCTGCTGGCATGGCCGGAAAGACTCGCCTCTCGATGTCGTCGTGGTCAACGACAGCGGGGGTGTGAAGAACGTAAGTTGTTGTTGGTTGGAATGAATTGGGTTCTGTGATACTGACCACGCAGCCACAACCTTGACGCATGTATGCCTATGTATGCAGGCTTCGCATTTGCTCAAGTATGATTCAATGCTGGGAACGTTCAAAGCTGATGTGAAAATACTTAACGATGAAACCATCACCGTGGATGGGAAGCCCATCAAGGTTGTGTCCAGCAGGGATCCTCTCAAGCTTCCTTGGGCTGAGCTTGGAATTGACATTGTCATTGAGGTATCACCTTTGCTGATGCTGGCTCCTCAACCTTGGGGGAGGCTGAGTGAGTTTTGTGTGTGTGTGTGTGTGTATGTGTAATAATAATAATAAACGCCTGGACCTGGAATATCTTCAATCTTGGGTTTGCAGGGAACGGGTGTGTTTGTGGATGGGCCTGGCGCTGGGAAACACATCCAAGCGGGGGCCAAGAAAGTGATCATCACGGCGCCTGCTAAAGGGGCTGATATTCCCACGTATGTCGTCGGGGTCAATGAACAGGATTACTCTCACGATGTCGCTGACATCATAAGGTTGGTCTCGCAATGCTCAACTTCGGGATGTACTCCTCATTTTTCACTCATCCACCGCCTTTCTTGTTTCTGATGTAATGCAGCAACGCATCCTGCACCACAAACTGTCTTGCTCCTTTCGTGAAGGTTTTGGACGAAGAGTTCGGTGAGCCTAATTAATTAGAAAGAGTAAAATTGTTGTTTGGAGGGGGGGGGGGATGAATTAGAAATGAAGACGTGATAGAGTACTTTGTGTTGGCAATGCAGGCATAGTGAAGGGAACCATGACAACGACACACTCGTACACAGGAGACCAGAGGCTATTGGATGCATCCCACAGGGACTTGAGAAGAGCAAGGGCGGCAGCACTGAACATAGTGCCGACGAGCACGGGAGCAGCGAAGGCGGTGTCGCTGGTGCTGCCAAAGCTGAAGGGGAAGCTGAACGGAATAGCACTGAGAGTGCCGACGCCGAATGTATCAGTGGTGGACCTGGTCATAAACGTAGAGAAGAAGGGCTTGTCAGCGGAAGACGTGAATGGGGCCTTCAGGAGAGCAGCGGAGGGGCCTCTGAAAGGCATATTGGAGGTGTGTGATGTACCGCTCGTGTCTGTGGACTTCCGCTGCACCGATGTTTCTTCCACCATTGACTCCTCCCTGACCATGGTCATGGGGGATGATATGGTCAAGGTGGTCGCTTGGTACGACAACGAGTGGGGCTACAGCCAGAGAGTTGTGGATTTGGCACATCTGGTGGCAGCCAAGTGGCCAGGCGCCGCCGCCTCTGCCGCTAGTGGAGACCCCTTGGAAGATTTCTGCAAGACAAGCCCCGCCGATGAGGAATGCAAGGTCTATGAAGCTTAAAACTATGTCAACAATAGCTGGATGCTGATTATTAGGGCATCCGACGCTCTTTTCTTTTGCGTTCTGTTGGTTTCTACGCATGTATCATGTCCGCGTACCCCCCCCCCCCACCACAAATGCCTATTTCTCAAGTCCAAACTACGTACACCCGCTTCTTCCTACTTCTCAGTCCGAACAAATATCATAAGGAGCTTTTCAATACGAAGCCAATAGCTTCAACGGCTCCGTGCTGCCGTTTGCCCATTTCCTTAATTCGGAAAGGCTAGGACCCACCCACCGCGACCCGACCCCACACTTGAAGCAACGGGGCTTCATTCGTCCATTACGGTTTAAACTCCTTTTCTACAAGCCCAAACTCCATGGGAAGTTCCTCAAAATTTTGCTTGTTTGCCAATTAAATTTAATAATTTATGTTTATAAATAGAGGGTAAAATTTAAAAAAAATTAAATTACTTATAAATTCTCTATATTTAATTTCTTTTATATGGTCAGGCGTAAAAACGAAGTTCTTTATATGGATCTATGTCGAATTTTCCTTTCCTTTAATACATAATAAATATGGTATTACTTTTTTTGAAAGGGCAATCTCATTGAACACTACTCCCTTGGGTTCGTAATGTAAAATGGTGCAGGATAATTATTGTAATTTTTTCACCTTCACTCCTACTCAATATAGGAGAGAGATGATAGATAATAAAAATACAACATTAAAGACAATTTTATATTTTTCAAGAGTAAAACAAAAAAATTCTATCATTTTAAAACACAATTAATAATAGTGACTAAACTTACCGGAGGAATATAAATGAACCTCAGCCATAAAGCCATTCGTATAAATACCAGTTAAATAAAGAAAATAATTACAAACGCTGGGTCGCTTTTTAGTCAGTGGTCTGACTCGCTTTACTAAATTCCAGCCCCGATCAACCAAACCACAGAATCGTTGTTTATTGGCACAGATTTTAAGCGAAGAAAACTTGTACGTCTGTTTATCAAAGATCTCTCCTTTGTTTCTCTCGTCTCAGATTCAATCGACCTTGATTTTGCGAGTACCGCTTCCGGATTCCTTAGTGCAATGTAAGTTTTTGTTTCTCCTACGTAGCTTTTCTTTTGCGTCTCAGTGAGAGGAGCGAAGTACATGATTGCGGGTTCAACAGGATATTGAGCACTTGTACGTTCATTCATTAACCGACAATTTAATCCAGAGACTCTCCATTTTTGTACGAAGCATCAATTGGAAAATTCTCCTCTGATTTGCGGATATGTGTGACTGTTCCCAGGTTTTTGCAATTAGTCTCTGTGAATTTCTTAAGCTTTATTTGAAGCATGAATGAGTTGTTTTCTTTTCTGTCTCAAAATCATGTTGATGAAATTTTGCAAGATGTCTTTATGTTCCCCGTTGAATTGCTGAGGGAATCCGAGTGATCTTTGGATCGCTAATTTGCTGTAACCTGAGTGTATTCTATCATGGCAATGGCTTCAAAACAAATGTCAATTGCTCCTTTTTTTCAAATCTGCTTCATGTTTATGTTTCTACTCTTTCGACGCTTCTCCAGTCTAACTTGTGTTTTCTTTCTCTTGATGAGTCACAGAAGGCGAGCTTGTGCACAAATCTAAATGCAAATAAAAACGTAATGATGGGGCTGTCGCATTTGCTTGTACATCATCTGTGAGCATAATGTTTTCTGAGAGATCGGCAGCTGATGAATCTCTTCGTCAAGATTTTGAGAGTTTGAGCGTTTCAAAACGTCTTGTGAGGAGTGTCAGCCAGAAGTTGAGGAAAAAGAGTAACAAAGGGGGAGGGGAAGAAGATGATACTGGAAAGGGAGTCTCTTTAAGATGTCTTACTCTGTATAGTCGAGGTGGGGGCTGCAAGGTAGGTGCAGATACGAGTGACGAATTTGGGGATTCAAACAGTAGAAGGAGGTCTAGTGCCAGTGAAGAAGGCAAAGGGATACAAACCAATTTGCGGTCCTGAAGAAACTACTGTGGATTGCTTCTCATATGGGGTGAAGGAGAAGTTTTGGAGGAAACACAACGGAAAGAATTCTGGACTTGAGGAGTCTGTCGGTAATAGTAGAATGCATATCTTTCTTCCAGATGACATTCTTGAAATGTGCTTGGTCCGGCTTCCTTTGATGAGTCTCATGAATGCCCGCCTTGTGTGCAAGAAATGGAGATCCTTGACAACCACTCCTAGGTTCCTTCAGATGAGACGGGAGGGTTCATACCAAAATCCATGGTTATTCCTTTTTGGCGCTGTTAAAGATGGCCTTTGCTCTGGTGAGATACATGCATTGGATGTGTCTCTGAATCAGTGGCATAGGATAGATGCTGATTTTCTCAAGGGAAGGTTCATGTTTTCTGTTGCCAGTATACAGGATGACATATTCATTGTTGGAGGATGTTCAAGTTTGACCAACTTTGGGAAGGTGGATAGGAGCTCATTTAAAACACACAAAGGGGTAGCAATGTTTAGTCCCTTGACAAGATCATGGCGTAAAATATCATCAATGAAATATGCTAGATCAATTCCTATACTAGGAGTGTCTGAGGTCAGTATAGATTTTTCTACTTGTCATGTTCATCAGAGTTGGCAGGATAGACGTATTCCAAGATCCCGGATAGGTGGGATTTCAGATGTCTATGAGGATCCTCATAAGCTTTCGTTGAGGCGTCAATGCAGAACTGCTGCCAATGAGAATGATGCTTTGCTTTTCTCAAGTCGAAAATCATACAAGGTCATTAGACAAAGAAATGATCATTCAAGTTCAAAAGGCAGTAAAAGATTTGTATTGATAGCTGTAGGAGGTCTGGGATCTTGGGATGAGCCTTTGGATTCTGGAGAAATCTATGATTCTGGGTCAAATAAATGGACTGAAATCCAGAGATTGCCTTCAGATTTTGGGTGTTGCTTTGTTCTGGAGTTGTTTGTGGGGGAATGTTTTAGATTTTTCTACTTGTCATGTTCATCAGAGTTGGCAGGATAGACGTATTCCAAGATCCCGGATAGGTGGGATTTCAGATGTCTATGAGGATCCTCATAAGCTTTCGTTGAGGCGTCAATGCAGAACTGCTGCCAATGAGAATGATGCTTTGCTTTTCTCAAGTCGAAAATCATACAAGGTCATTAGACAAAGAAATGATCATTCAAGTTCAAAAGGCAGTAAAAGATTTGTATTGATAGCTGTAGGAGGTCTGGGATCTTGGGATGAGCCTTTGGATTCTGGAGAAATCTATGATTCTGGGTCAAATAAATGGACTGAAATCCAGAGATTGCCTTCAGATTTTGGTGTTGCTTGTTCTGGAGTTGTTTTGTGGGGAATGTTTTATGTCTATTCTGAGACTGACAAACTTGCAGCATATAACATAGAACGTGGTTTCTGGATTGCAATTCAAACGTCTCCATTCCCACCTCGTGTACATGAATATTACCCTAAGCTCGTATCATGTAACGCGGCAGGCTTTTTGTGCTATCCGTGTCCTGGTGTGAAGGGGACGGTGAAATTTGGTCGGCGAAACAAGGCTGTTAGAAAATTATGGGAATTAGATCTCATGTATCTCACCTGGACGGAAATCTCAGTGCATCCAGATGGCCCAATGGACTGGAATGCGGTTTTTGTGGGAAGCAAAAAACCTGATTTTTGGGGTTGAAATGTTCAAAATATTTGGTCAGGTGTTGGATTTCCTTCACTGTATGCGATGTGGTCTGATAAGGCAAACTGGCCATATTTCGAGGAAGCATGTTACCCATGAAACTGGATGCTTCTTCATGCTTGACTAAATCACTGGCAGTGCTCCATCTTTGAAGTCATTTGTGGGCTTATGCGAAACAGTGGGACATTATTCTTCCCCTCAGATGTTTTTAGGATCCGATCTAATCAGTTCCTCCTACTTTTTATGTTCTGCATGAAATTGTATACGGTCAGGTCTTCAGCAAGTCTCGGTTTCAGTGTTGCTTATGTACTCTTTCTTTTTAATTCGTTTCACAGCACCACTCATAATGCTGCATCCCTGCCCAGCTTCTATTATTCCTGTTCTGGGAATAGTCATTGTGGATTGATTTTTGCCATTCTGCATGCCCTTATCTCTGTCGTGCTTACTCTGAATAATCTTGAATTTTGCAAATTAATACTACTTCCGGTCCTTAATATAAGACCTTATTTGATTTTTATTTTGATCCTAATTATAAGATCTTAATATACTTTGTTTCTCATATTTATCTTTTTTTTTAAAGATAGTTATTCTAATAATAGTAGTTCTAATCAATAGACTTGATTAGTAAGGATATTTTAGAAAAAAATAACACATATTTATTACAAATAATTAATTTAATTTATTTTTCTTAATCTACTCAAATTAATTAATTAGCTCTTATAATTATGACCGAAGTTAGTATATCAATATGTTAATGCATCTGTTAAGTGTTAGATTTACCCAAATGAGGGGTATAAACTTGATTTGTTAGATTTTGCACTAATTTGCAGAAGTTTATTGATCACCCGTGAAAACATGACAATGAATGATATACACACATACGTATGTGTATATACTAATTCGCACTAATTTGTTAGAGTTTAATTGTATATATATATATATATATATATTTATATGTATATAAGAGTCAAAGCTTAATTACATTGTAATAATTTTTGTTAGAGAAAATTAAAGTTTCACTTCATAACACAACCTCCAGATTTTAATGCAACACAATTTAGTTGCTATAATTTTGATTCAGTTCAAACTCATTTTTTGAATTTTAACTTTGTTACAACTTAGTACTATAGTTTAATCATTTAAAATATTTGTAGTTCTTAAGTTAAAAAAAAAGTTTACTTTGGCACTTATAATTTTTATTTTCTAAAATTTAGGGATCAATATTTTAACTGAGTCAAAATTATAAAAATTAAGTTGTATTAAAACAAAATTTAAGAATAGGAATTCAGCGGAATCGACCCTCCAAAGGCTTGGTGATGGTTCAAGTCCAAAACAAAAAAAAAAACTTGGGGATGGTTGATGCGGAGGCCTATTTCGAAGGGAGGATGGAAGCTGGATGAAGGGATTCACAAAAAAGTTAGGAAAATGCCCAGCAATTAGAGCAGAATTGTGGAGAGCTCTGACGGCTTTGCGAATTGTGAGTGAGAGCAATATAAGGTATTTAATCCTTGAAAGTGATTCGTCCTCAATGATCTGCATGTTGCAGCA